TCTAGCTCTCATTAATAAGCTGTACATGAGTAATAGTGACTAGAATTTATAATATATAATGCTGCATAAATTCTGAATGATTGACTTAGAATTTTTATTATTAATGCTGATTAATGAATCATATAAAATAAACACAGAGTATTATAGTACTTATTGAAACTTCAGATTCTGAATATTATGTCAAATGGTTATATAATTTAGAGGGCTTATTTTCTCTGTAAAGCTGATGTATGTATATGTAGATTACTTAATTGAATATCTGATTTTCAATTATTTTTGTTATTTCAGAAACACTATAAGATTACTCCATTGAAAATATTTCTTCTTTAAAGCTTACATGTTACCTGTGGTATTTTAGAGTGCATTCTTTCCTTTTTAAAAATATCACCTATTTTTAAAGGTTTATATATGTCTTGCTGAAGTTTCTATTTTATATTATGGGTAAGTCAGCACCAAAGAGTTCCATATAAATATGTAAATGTCCCAAAGCTGTTTGTTCTGCTATTTGAAAAGCATAACATTTATAGATATACTATTTTGGAGGTAAAAAATTTGTACTTTTTAAGAGTTGTGGGACCTGTTTATTATATTGAAATGCTTTCTTTTCTAGGTCATCCATGCCTGGCTTATCATATCATCTCTATTGTTGCTGTTCTTTTTTTCCTTCATTTACTTGGGGTAAGTTGTGATTGGTCTGCTATTCAGAAATTAACTGTATTCATGCTCCATAATTATCACTTAAAGCCATGTGTTTTGTTGATGAATTACTCTAAAGTTATAATGGTTTCTACATATAGGTCATACTAGGTATACAAAAGACAAGTCAGTATTACTGATGAGGTATTCTTTTGTTCTTCCTTGTAATAGGTAGAATCGGAAGAACTCAAGAATACTTAATTCTAAGCTTTTTTCAAGGTTGTATATTCTTCTAGTGGAAATCTGTGAATCAGAATGTTAAGAAAGGATTTCAAGAATGTATATAAACATGAATTAATTTATTTTCATTGCTTTTATGTTCTTTTTATCAGTGATTGTTTTTTTCTCTCAAATGAAATCTTATGTGAAATTTTCACATACATTGTAGAAAAAAGTGGAGCTGCTCTGTTGAAAAGAATAGCCAAGCTCAGAGATTTGCCATCCTGCCCTTTCTTTCACCCCCAGGGGCGAATATAGTTGTAAACCATTGTATTAGCTCTTAAATTAGGAAGAGGTAGTAAAACTAATAAATAAATCAAAGAGTTATTTCCTTGGTAAGTGTAAGGGGGAATAACCACAGACAAAAAAAGCAAATGTGAGATTCTGTGGGAAGTGGATGATATTCTAGGAAAAAAATTAATTACCGAGACTGACCACTGAAGAGGGAAAATTTAAACAGAGCAAAGTCTGTTGGTGTGTCTTGTAAGTAAGTAAATAAGTAAATAAATAAATAAATAAAAACAGAGCAAAGAAGAAATACAGAAGGTTGCTGAAGAAGTTTCTATTCCACCTCCACTAATATCAACAACAGTACCAGGCCCCGATGGTTTCATAGGGAAATTCTGTTAAACCTTTAAGGATGGATAACTCTAATACTATTTCAACTGTTCCAGACTGTAGAAGAAAAAGAAAAGCTTTCAGATTCATTTTATGAGGCCTACGTCGTAACATTGATAACTAAACCCTACAAGTATCAAGAAGAAAACTATAAACCAATCCTATTTGTCAATGTCAAAGGAATAACTAAATATTAATAGAATTCAGCAATAAATTAAAAGAATAATAGATTATGACCAAGTGGAGTTTATTTGCAGAATGGAAGACTGGTTCATTATTAGGAAATCCCAGTATAAGTCACCACTTTGTTAGATCATCATCACTGTACATGCTAAAAGGCATTTGATAAAATTGAACTTCCTGTTAAGACAGGGAAGTAAAACGTAAAAAAAAAAAAAAATTCAACACCTGTTCTTGACCAAGTTCCTTAATAAAACAAATAGCTGGTTACTTCTCTAACATGAAAAAATGTGCAACTCTCATTCTGAAAGCCAATGTCATCCTCATAGGCAAACATTAAAAGCTTGCATGCTAAGGTCAGGAACAAGGTGAGGGTTTTCTTTATCACCACTGTTGTCTAACATTGCTCTGAAGGGACTAGCAAATACAATTAAACAGGAGAAAAAAATAATAGCTATGTAATTTGGAAAAGAAGGTTACTTTGTCAATATTTGGACATAAAATGATTTTTTGCCTTGTTTCAGAGCTAACCAAAAAACAATTAGAATCACTAAGTAAATTTCGTAAGACAGTTGAATACAAAATTAAACACAAATCAATAGTCTTCACGTAAAGAACTAGTTAGAAGACATGATGAAAGGAAAAGTCTCGTTTATGATGGCAGCAAAATAGAGAAAATATCTAGGATTAAAGAAGAATTATACAAGATCTCTTAATAAGAAATATTCAGTGCCTCTGAAGGGCTTAAAAAGAAGACTTAAACAAATGGAAAATTATACGAGGGTACATAGAAAGACATAATACATCAGTTCTTGCTAAGGTTTTTTTTTTTTTAATTTTTAATTTTTT